TTCTATATATCAGTTTACTACCTATAGTATACAAATATATTTCACTCCATAAATCACATATTTACTATACTCATCCCTCTCCTATCTACTACTTAATACTCCGCTACTACTCTCACCTGCCCCCCTATCTACCTATTGTAGTATCCGACCTCACCTCGCTGTCCATTCAAACACCGCAGTCCGCTGGCCCTACCGTGCCACTCCCGATCACCACCTTCGATCGCCCAGACGATTTTCTACTACTATAGTTATACCTATATACTCCATATCATCATATACCCCTTCCTTACCTATATAGTTTATTTATCTACACTATTACTTCATCATACTTTGTTATTCCAACCCATACTAGCTATACTAGTATCGGTACGATCCCTCATTGGAGGAGTACCTAGGGTCCCGATACGGTAGACCTATCGATGTAACCTGCTAGGACTATATAAAGCTAAGGACCACAGTGAACCGGCTCACACTCTCGAATCAGCGGGGCCCTCTGGCGCAGGTCTATTCTGAGTCTCACAGAGAACGCCGGGGACCTTTCGCCAAGGCCACTAGGGAGACGGACCGAGGTTGGGGGGGGGGGGGGGTTGGCCGGTCTTGGGTGATTGCTCGTAGTTGGTGGTGGTGCTTGAGTGTCCTCTTTGGGGTATCGCAGCGGGGGGGAGTGTTTGGATGAATGGTCTGTTTTTTCTGTGTGGTCTTGTAATCTAACCACTTACTTGAAATCTTTATCAACATCTGGTCATCATCTTGTGTCGTAGCTCATTGTTTAGTTATCTTTATTAATTCTCTTTTCCTTATGTATAATTGGTTTATTATGAATCAATAACGCAACAAATCATACCAATCGCTATAATGGGTCACCTATCATCATTATTTCTCCTCCACTCACACTATCTACACTACTATACTTATATCTGTATATATTAGTATTATGTATTATATTGTACACACTTCTCCACTACCTACCCCAATTCCTCCCCTTTTCTTCTTACCAACCTCTGCACTCTCTCCTCTTGTCTTACCCCTCCCTCCAGCCCGCATATCTTCTGCCTGTCCCCTGGGCCAATCGCTCCCCTTCACCTTATGTCCCAGACGCACCGTTCTGGGCCGTTCTCGCTCCTCTTCTCGCTTAATCGCTCTCGCCCACTTTCTCGTACTCGGCTGGACTAGCTGCCGTTGGGCTAATCTCTTCTACATTTTCTAACCGCCACAAATATTCTTTATCGTACCAAAGCAAGAAGACCTGAGATTTATATTCGGTCTACCCTTAACTTTCGGTCCGACTCTCATACCTATACGTCCTGTCGGAGACGTTCCCGCTTCTTCGGACTTTCTTTCTTTCTCACAAAACCATAAATCAAGACGGCATTTCTCTCCTCGGCCCTCTAGCAGCTTCTACTGTTGCTTGGGGCCCATTGGAGTTGCGCTGCGCCCTTCTTTGCGTTGTGAGGGAATGAAGGTAACGTTTTTTTATTCTCAACTAAGTTAAAACTATTCATGATGTTGGATATCTTAATATTTCAGGCTCTCATACAATAGTCACAGTTAGATCAGTTCAGAATAAGCTGGGTTTCTATATTATGGGCTTTCTGGTCACACCTTTCAAATTGATGCTTCAGGTGTATTCTCCGATCCTGGATAAGTTAAAGATAGTCACTTTATTTCACGTTATTCTTGTTGTCCATTTCTGCTTCTTTCTTCTGTCTTCCTGCGCCTCCTTACCCTCCTATTGAGCAGTCTTGTTATCTCTTATACAGGCTGCCTCGCTCGGTCCCCGGGGGGTCATATACATGTTGGCTGCTACTTTGGCATTTCTATTACTGGTGTTGTGCCTGCACCCTTGGGGATATCTTTTCCCTCATATCTTCTACGTCTTAGCTAGTTCTTGAGCAGCATCGGTTTTCTGTGATGCCTATGCTCTTTCTATATCCTTGTTCTCTTCCTGTCTGTCAGTTCGCCTCTGTTCTAGGCACGGTGCCGTAGCGGCCGGCCACTCCCTCCGTGTCTGCGTCCATTCTTCAACACCAGGGGGCGGTGGGGGTGGTGCGTGCGAGAGGCGGTCTCGGATGGGTGGTTTGGTGTCTCTTCATTTATTTCTTTTTTTTTTTTTTTTATATTTTATTTTTTCTCTCTCTTTCTTAATTTTATATTTTTTTTGTTTAATTTTAAAATCATATTGTCTCTTAAATTTATATTTACGTTTATTAACACTTTTTTTTTATTTATTTATTATATTTATATCTATATTCTATATCTCTCTTTCATTGCTATCAACTTATCTTAGCTTCTATCTACCATACCATCTATCTATCTATCTATCTATTTTCTCCTATCGCTATCTATCTACTGCCATTCTATTATCTTCCATTCTATCTCTTCACCCCTCCATTAACTCCTCTCTGCATACCTTCTCTCTCTACTCTTCAATACCTCCTTAATTCTTTAATCATCCTTTATGCTTTATATCCTCATTTTCTTACTATTTATTACGTACTTACACTCCCTTATTTTTTCTTTATCCTCTCCTCCTTGTATATCCTCTCTTTAACCTTTCAGTAATTTATCTCCCCTCTTCTTCAATTTTCTCCACATTTAATGTTCCTTATTTTTATTTTTATTTTTTTTTTATTTTTTTTTTTTTGTTTTTTTTTTTTTTTACTTTTTAATTTTTTTGTTTTTTTTTTTTTTTTATATGTATTTTGTCTTTTTTTGTTTTTCCTTTTTTATTTTTTTGCTATTCTCTTTTTTTTTTTCTTATTTTCTTTTTTTATCATTTATTATTCATTTTTTATTATTTTTATTATTCTATTTTTTTATTCTTTTTTTTTTTCTTTTATTATTTTTATTATTATTATTATTATTATTATTATTATTATTAATATTATCATCATCATCATCATCATCATCATCATCATCATCATCATCATCATCATCATCATTATTTTGTGCTTAATTTCCAGACTTGAAGTTTCTTCCAGCCGCTGGATCGTAGGAAGGCCATCCCCGACGTCTTCTTGGTTCTCGGGCTCTTCTTCCCCTCACTTTCATTAATGGCGATTCGGCAGAACTACGCCCGGAAGCACAAGATCCCCATCGACATTAATTCCTTTCGAGTTTAATTTAAAGGAAAGGAAGAGGTTAGAGTATTTTTTATTCACTTATGCTTAATTTTTTTAATTTAGTAATTTTTATTTTTTTTTAAGGTGTTTTACTTTGGGAATTCACCTTCTATTTTAATTTGAAATAATTTTTATTTTTTATTAGGTTTGAGGTATTTTTTATTTACTTCCCTTTTTAAGTTTTGGAAATAGGGTTTTTATTTTTTAATGGAAAGGTTTTTATGTTATTTTACTTTTCAGCTTATTTTTTGGAAAATTTATTTTTTTTTTGGTTTTTTTAATGGGTTGGGTTTAATTTTTATTCACTTCAGTTTAATTTAAATAAATTTTTTTAAGGTGAAATAATGGGTTTGAGGTGTTTTTAAGGGAGAGGTATTTTGGGGTAGGTTTTACTTCGAGTTTAAGGTGGAAAGGAAGATGGTTTGAGGTGTTTTTAAGGGAGAGGTATTTTGGGGTAGGGTTTACTTTCAGTTTAAGGCGAAAAAGAGGGTTTGAGGTGTTTTTAGGGAGAGGTATTTTGGGGTAGGGTTTACTTTCGGTTTAAGGTGAAAAGGAAGAGGGTTTAAGGTGTTTTTAAGGGAGAGGTATTGGGTTTTTTAAGGTGGTTAAGGGGTTAAAAGGTGTTTTTGGGGTAGGGGGTAGGGTTTAGGTTTAAGGTGAAATAAAGGGTTTAAGGTGTTTTTAAGGAGAGGTATTTTGGGGTAGGGTTTATTTTCAGTTTAAGGTGAAATGGAGGGTTTGAGGGTGTTTTTAAGGGAGAGGTACTTTGGGATTCACTTCGAGTTTAAGGTGAAATAAAGGGTTTAAGGTGTTTTTAAGGGAGAGGTATTTTGGGGCAGGATTTACTTTCAGTTAAGGTGTTTTGAGGGAGAGGTACTTTAGAGTAGGATTTACTTTCAGTTTAAGTTGGAAAGAAGAGGGTTTAAGGTGTTTTTAAGGGAGAGGTACATTGAGGTAGAATTCACTTCGATTTTAAGGTATAAAGAAGAGGGTTTAAGGTGTTTTTAAGGGAGAGGTATTTTGGGGTAGGATTTACTTTCAGTTTAAGGTGAAAAAAGAGGGTTTAATGTGTTTTTTTTAGGGAGAGGTACTTTAGGGGGTTTTAAGGTAGGAGGAACAGGTTAAGGGGAAAGGAGGTCAGTGTTTCAGGGAAAATAACTTTGGGTTGAAGCTAAATAACGTCAAAGTTTAAGGTAAAATAATTCATGGTTTAAGGGAAAAGAGGTTTTGGTTAAACGCAAATACACTCGAGGTTTAAGGTAAAGGAGCTCACGTTTTAAGGTAAAAGAACTCTTGATACACCGTCTTGTATAAAGTATAAAGTATAGTATAAAGCACCATATTTCAACTCGGGATATTATTGGTATTGCGAATGGTGTAAATCTTATGCAAATCATCCACATCTACCATAAACTGCAAATATGCATGTAGTTTTATGTTGCTAAGGCTATAGACAATGAATTCCATAGTTTTGGTATAATATCAAACCTAACATAAAAAATCCTAGTCTAATATATATCTTTTGAGTATATAAACATAGCCGATTTTATTGAATTCTAAAAGAAAGCAGATGGTAATTGTTATTCATTTGCACTTTTTTTTGTCATGGAACAATAGAAGTTCGAAAGTCTATACGGTATTATTGATGAAGACAAGTATCCTCTTCAGAATATATGAGAAAAAAATACCTCGCATTATTCAGGCCCTTTATCTATCCCTCTTCCTACGCTTGTCATCCTCTTTATCTCCTCTGCCCCTCTTCCTCTGCCCTCCTTTGTCATTTTCCTTTCCCTATTATACCAAACCCTCTACTTTTCCCCAGGTTCTGTTTCTCTCTTCCTTCCTTCTGTTTTGTAACTCTCTTTCTCATTTCTGTTCCTTGTTTTTTATCCTCCTCCCTCTTCCTTCCTCCTCCTTCCTCCTACCTCCACCCCCCTCCCTCCGTTTTTTCTTTTCTACCACCAACTCCACTTTGCTTATCCCTCCTTCAACACCCATCCTCCCTCCTTCGTATCTCTCTCATCACTCAACCCTTCCATCCTTAATTCTCTTACCTTATCCTCTACCTATCCCTTTCCCTCCTTCCTAGCATCCTTCCCTATCCTTCCCTCTCTCCTTTATTCTATTATCTCTCCCTATCCCCCTTCATCCTCCCTTTCTCCCGCTCTCCAATTTATTCTCCTACCACTCCTTCCACTCAAACCCCACCCACCCTCTCATTCCCAACAACTCTCTCCTCTAACCACACTCACCCTGTCCAGCTCTTTAAAACCCCCTACCACTCACCCTTCTCACCTCCCTCCCTTTCACCCCAACCACTTATTCCTCTCACCTCTCCCTCCCCAACTCTTCCACTCACCCCCTCTCACCACCCCTCCCTTTCACCCCTCCCGTCTCTTTAAACCCCCCTTCCACTCACCCCTCTCACCTCCCTCCCGTTCACCCCCCACCACTTATTCCTCTCACCAGTCCCCCTTTTAAAACCCCCCTTCCACTCACCCCACTCACCACCCCCTTTCTTTCTTCCCCCCAAAGGTGATGGACAAAGAAGTGAGTGACATCATCGGCGAGTGCATCCGACCGAACTTCGTGGAGCTGCCTGAGGTGATCGAGCAGCTGCCAACGCCTTCACTGAGGGGCCTTTGTCACCCCCCTGACACCGACCGGGAAGACGAATCACTCGGAGAAGAGGAGGAGGAGGAAGGAGGCGAAGGAGGAGCAGAGGGGAAGGGCGGAGGGAAGGACGGAAAGGGAGGAGGGAAGGGGGAGAAGGGCGGAGGGAAGGAGGAAAGGGGGAGGAAGGGGGAAAAGGGAGACGGAAAGGCGAAAGGCGACGACGGGGCAGGAGCGACGTCGGTAAGATGATCGATGGAGGGATTAAGGAATTTTTTTTTTATTGATATATTTTATTCCTTTTTTGAGGGAGAGCTGAATAATTGTTTTCGCTTGTTTGGTTGTATTCCCTATATTTTTGTATTAAAATGCTGCTGTAGTATTTGTCTTATGAAATATGTAAAAAAATATATTTTAGTAGTTTACTCGTATAACTATAACTACCATTCTAAACATACAAGCAAGGCGAGGGGCACGCAGTATGTAAAACATAAATAAAAAGATGATCAAATATAAGATATATTACCATTATACTCTATCTTCTGCTTTATCGTCTAAACGCTCTCGATTCCAGAGCGAGAACAAGGAGGCGCAGCAGGCAGGCGACGCACAGGAGGGAGAGGGCGAGGAGGAGGGCCAAGAGGACGCGAAGGACGCCAGCCAAGAGGACGAGGAGGAGGACGACGTGATCTACCAGGTCATTCCTCGACAGGCGGACGAAGGAATGTATACATGGGTTAGTGGTATGGGTTTTGTTGGTGTCGGATTGATGTGGGAGACGCACGGTTCGAAACATCAGGGCGTTTGTTTCGAACGCGTTTCGGATGAACCAAAATACATGCTCATGATAGCGTTTATTTATATCTGATAGCTACGAGGAAAGCGTTATTTTTCATTTTAACTGGTAACTCGCCCCAGATTCAGGAATATTCCGTCTTGCTGATTTTCTTTGAAGAAAATGGTGTAAAAAAAGGTGCTATAAACAATTTTTTAAATAATCCAAACTAATGTTAAAATAGGCAAATGCGCCAGCTGTTTAAAGAAATATGCGAATCCGAGGAGAGTTGTCATTTTCTGTCTTCGCGAAATTGGACGCGCCTTCCACACTTTCTCTCCCACCCACAGGGCTTCTTCCTGGAGGGCGCCCGCTGGGACCGAGAGCAGCGCTGCCTGGTGGACATGGTGGCCAAGCAGCTGCACGACCAGCTGCCCATTATCCTCTTCCAGCCCGCGCCCATGCCAGAGGAGGAGGGAGGTGGGTGTTCTTGGGTCTGTGGGGGAGGTGATGTGGTTGTCTGTATTTTATCCTGCTTTTAATTGTTTGTTTGGTTGTTTAATTGACTTTATTACTGCTGTGGTTCATTGTTCTTGTCCGTTTCATACAGTACATGGCCAATATCTGTCTCGCTCCGTCGCATATATATATCAAACGATTTAAAATTTCTCCCAACAATAAACTTCCAATAAACCAGTGAACTTTACTCGCAGGACCCGCCGCTGCCGAGGAGGAGGTCCCTGGCATGTACCGCTGCCCCGTGTACCGCACCAGCGACCGCAGCGGCACCATCTCCACCACGGGGCACTCCTCCAACTACATCCTGGACCTCATCCTGCCGTCGCAACTCCCGCAGTCCTACTGGGTCGCTCGGGGGGCCGCCGCCCTCACGCAGCTCGACGACTGAGGGAGGAAGTCCAGGGATGGAGAGATGGGGAGGACTTGTGCGGAAGACGGTGTGTGTGTGTGTGTTGTGTGTGCGTGTGTGTG